AGCCTCGTGGAGTAGGTGAATTGTGCGGGAGACAGCAGAACACGTTTGCCCCTGGACCTGTGTGGAGGCGGTGTGAGAGCTGGAATAAAGAATTGCTGTTTGAACCTACAAAGCTGTGAGTGCCTCGTGATTCTGGTGCCAAGCCGAGACATTGGCCTTTGGCACCCCTTTTTTTTTTGAGTTAATTTAACAACATGATTTTTGATAGGAATAAAAATCCTTTAAATTAATGTTGCTCATGACAACCTCTGTAGTGCAATAACTGCATAATATCCAAAGTCACCTAGAAATAGGCAAGGAAGAAAAATCCATAATCAACTTCTGTAGACAACATTTAAACTGGGAAAATAGTTGATCTGAAACAAGTTTAAGTATTTTTTGAGTGTTTTCTTTATATTTTTAGGACTGAAGAAAACAAGAATAATAACAATGTGCATCCTACTTCAAATAAAGGTACATTTTTAAAGTTTTTTTTTTTGTAAAGCCCTATTACCAAATAGAGTAAGAGCACAGACTTAGCCAGACTTCCTTGATTAGCATCTCAGTTCCACACAGCTATAATGTTGATAGGCAAGTTAGCTTACTCTCTGTTCCTGTTCTCTTGTGCTTTAAGAGGGAATAAAAACAGTGTCTACCTGGATGGATTTTAATAGCATTTAAAAAGCAAATTAAAATTTTAAAAGTGTTTAAAACAGTGCTTGCCATGTAAATGCTACGTGTTTGTTAAGTGAGTAATAAATACCTTAGATCACACTTATTATCATGATCGATCTTTGATAAAGGGAAATGTTCATGTCTGATGTACGAACATTTAAACAAAAGATTTAAGACTCTAAGATTTGAGTCTTGTTAGCCAAAATTGGTATAAACTCCCCCCCCCCCTTCCATTTTCACATATTCCCATTCCCAGGTCATTCCTTTTTCACAAGGTCACTGCATATTAAAGTGTGCCTTGGATTGTTATGTTGACTAATCATTTGTCCTTAACTCTTCTCTCATCAGCCTGAGAACAAGAAAAGCAAGATTGAGGCCTCTGCAATGAAACTCAGGCAATAAAGTTAATAGCTGTTCATGACTACCTACAGCAAAGGCAAGGTAAGCAGATAAGAGTCTTTTCCTCAGTGCTGAGGTGCCAGCCAAGGGGGTGGAGCCCCCCCAGAACCCCCCCACCCCACCCATTTCTTCCTGGTTTCAGCAGGATTTCTGCCTTTTCTCCATGCGTAAACACAGGCTACCAAGCCTTCCAACCTAAGTTAAATTACTTAACTTACTCTTTGCCTCAGATCTCTCTGAAGAAAACAAGTCTCACCTGCAAACTAGGGTTTAATTATGCTATGAGATTAACGAGTTAATACCTACCAAGTGCCTGCATAATGCATATGTGTATAAAAGGGATGCCATAAATTTTGGTGTTATTATTTTGTGGGACGAGATGTTTTAAGTTCCGTGACTGCTCTTCCCTTAAGAACTTGTTTCAAATAACTGTACTGCTCAGAAAATGGAGAAGAGGGGTAGATGGGGAAGTGGCCTGCTGGTTGGAAACCGAGTGGGGGTAGTTGGGAGAGGGGAGGGACAGCGGGAGACGCTTATAATAGCCCAGAAGGGCAAAGTCTGTTCTGGAGCTTCCAGAACAAACTTTAGCATGAGAATCCGCGCAGAACCCCAGGGGTCAGCAGCTTCTGCACAAAGCGGCCAAAAAGGGAAGGCTTCCAAAACCAGCAGGGTTTTCAAAGTCCAGCGCCGGAGATCTTTTGACCCCGGGAGTAGCCACAATGGGCCTCAGAACAGCCTCTACTCCACTAAAGTTTCCCAGAGTCGCCTCGGTGGCCCTCCCGCTCCCAGACACGCCGTTGCCCCGCCAAGTGCGTCTGTGTCTGCGCGGCTCTAGCAACCTCCCTGAGAGGCGTCTGGTCCTCCCTTCAGCCATACAAGTGACCAAAGACTGCCACCAAAGCCACCAGCACAGTGAGAATTAGCACCAAACCCCTGGACCTCAGGGGCGTGGCTCGCGAAGAGGCCCCACCCGGTCACCCCATTGGTTAACGCTGCCGCGTGGTTGGGATCCGCGGTCACCAGTCCCGGGCCCGCAGCTCCGCCCGAACGTGGGTCCATGGGGACAAGAGGCCCAGGTGGGTGAGAAGCAAGCTCCTGTGCCCAGGAAGCCCGGTCCCCGGGCCATGGGGGCACAGGTGAGGCTGCCTTCCGGAGAGCCCTGCCAAGAAGGTGAGTTTGTACCCCGAGGCGGGAGAGATCCGGCATCTGTGTGGCCAAGAGACCAGGTGGGCGGTCCCGGGGTACCCGTGCAGACGCGAAAGATGCACCGACTCCACGCAGTCGTCAGTGTAAATATTCACTTAATTGTTCAGTCATTGCGCTGTGCCGGCCAACCAATGTTTATCGGTGCTTACGATATTCGGGTTTGTGTGGGGAAAGCCTGGAGGGAATCAAGACAGTGGCGACTCCCACTCGGTCCTGGGGGCTGACCACTGTGAACTGCAGCGTGCTCAAGTATGTGACGGAGCAAGTCAGGACTATGGAAAGACTCCCAGATCCCGTCGCAGAAGGAGGTTTCCTCTGATTCAGACTCGCTTCCAGAGGGCAAGGTAGTCGTCACCCAGTGCGCAGAGGGCGTGCCCAGGAACCCCGCTGGAGTCGGCTGCCGAGCCCTGCGCTGGCTCTGCGAGGGTCCAACACCCCGAGGGGCCATGCGCCCTACACCTCCGGGAACGGCGATGGCCAAGTCTGGGTCCCCTGGACATGAAAACGTCTCTAACCCGCTACCCTGGCTTCTGACTCGCGGTGCAGTTGTTTCTCCGCAGCTTAAAGAGAGAGCAGGATGGGAGAGAAACCCGGGAACCCGGGGCACTCAAGTTGTTCTCGCTGCTTGCTGCTCTGGGTTTACAGCCCCTATCTGAGCCCTGGGAAGTCACTGGGCGCCGCCCCATGCACTTCACCAGGTGTTCACAACACTGACGAGCTTTCTACACTTTCGACACAGAAGGTGCGTGTAAGCCTGGAGAAAAGGGAGGAAGCTTGCGGGTGATGGTTAGTGGGGATGGGTGGGGTGTCCACCAACTGAAATAATGTTTTTCACGGCGTCACGAGGAAAGCCTATTTATAATTTACCTGGCGATGATGTAAAGACGAAGGTGGAGGGGGTAGTAAGCGGCAAGGTGAGAACTAGACTTTTGCAAAGTTGCTGGTAACTTCCTTGGTTTCCTCTCCTTGCCCTCTTCCAGCTTATTCCTTGATGAAAAAAGTCGGGGGTGGGGGACTGCAGTGAACTCGTTAAAACTGTACAAGCAAGAAAGAAATAGAACACTCCTAAAAAGGAAAAATGCCTGAACAATTTTCAAACTATTCAAAAATTTAGATTGGTGGTTACTCAGGCGGGCTGTATCCAGAATTATTTCCTAGATAGTCAGGTAGTTGCCCTTTTTCCTAAATAATTCCCAAACCAGTAAGTCATACTGTTACTAATATACCCACCCTTGTTTACTCAAGGCTCTGTAAGTAAGGAGGGTGTGGAATTACACCCACTTGTTTGAGCATCCGGATGTTTTTCCTGCTTTGCTCATACACTTAGTTCCAACAAGAAATATTCAAGCTCAGTGCTTAATACCTGTGATTAATTGTGGTAATTAATTATGTAAAAAGATGGTGGGAAAGAAGAGAGAAATTAGAATCCATATTTTCAGTAGTGAGAAGAGATTAGGCTTTGGCATCAGACAGTCTTCCCAGCTTCAGCCTTTCCTCATCTGTAAAATGGGAAGAATTCCTACAGCTTACAGCTGTGGGGTAGATACAGGTGGGATTATATATGAAGCAAGCAATACTGAACCTGACATGGGGTCAACATGGACTCAGTTTTTCATTTGTTCAAATAACAGATGAGTCTCATGTGCCAAGAACTAGCCTAAGCACTAGGAAAGGCATTTGCAATATAGTCTAATCCTAGACTCTAGGAGTAGGTCCTGCTTTTGCACAGCTTACTTTCCAACTGGCAAATAATATACAAGAAGCGAATTAACTAAAAAAAGTAGATTACAATAGTGGTCTCATGAATAGTGTATTGAGGATGTTGGGGATATTTAGATTGGGTTACTCAAAGCCCCTTAAAGAACTTTAAAGAATCAATAGTGTCTTCTGACCAATGTGAATCAGATTATGTCCTTCCCTGTTTAATCCTTCCCATCCCCTCCATGGGTTTTCATCCCAATTTTAACAAAACCTCAGTTCCTAGATAACCCCACTGTAAAGCCTTGCAGTGCTTGCTTGATTTTCTAGCTGAGTCCAAAATGACAAGGAGTCGATCATAATATCTAAGAAATCAAGGAACTGCACAACTCCTTGAGAACTGGCTGAATCTCTCTTTTGTAATGATTAGGACATTTCCCATATTTATATATATAATCTTTTTTTGAGAGAATTTTTAATATTTATTTTTTAGTTTTCGGTGGACACAACATCTTTGTTTGTATGTGGTGCTGAGGATCGAACCTGGGCCGCACGCATGCCAGGCGAGCGCACTACCGCTTGAGCCGCATCCCCAGCTTAAAAATTCAAATGTATCTGTTTGTCCTTACACATAATTAAATTCCATGAACTTTATTAGACAAGTATGTCCATTTTAAAGATATAGAAACCAAGGCCCAAAGAAGTGTATAGGATTTCATAATTACAGATCAAACCAAGTTCAAAATTGTTTGGACCTTTATTTCTCCTGTGTTGCCTGCAATGGACTGAATGGTGTTTGCAGTTTATTGATATAAATGCCAACTTGTTGCAATATTGTTCCTTAATTATTTTCCTGCATCTTCAGTTTATAAAACTTTTTTTAATTTCAGGGGGATTTTTAATCTTTAACAATATAGTAACTTTATTAATGAACAGTTGATAAAGTGAAAACAGCAGCAGCCCATAAGCTCCCCACTGTGTTTAGAAATACAAGTTTTAATTTTTTAAAGAATCAATAGTACCTTCTCAATTTTATTGGTTGATTGATTGATTGATTTTCTGTTCTGGGGATTGAACTCAGGAGCACTCAGCCACTGAGTCACATCCCCAGCCCTATTTTGTATTTAGAGACAAAGTCTCACTGATTTGCTTAGTACCTTCTCATTGCTGAGGCTGGCTTTTAACTCATTATCCTCCTGCTTCAGCCTCCCAAGCCACCCCTGGACTCAATTTTATTTTGATTAAATGGAATAATGGGCATCTTACCAGTTATCAGTTTATGTATAGATTTGTCTAATAGGACATGATATCCCAATTTGTTCTAAGTTCTCATTCTCTTCCAAAGTTGCTGTAAATTGTTTTCACCCTAACTCTGCTCTGATTTTGTTCTGAATGATCTCTCCTAACTATTTTGCTCCCTTATTATTGTTTGCATTTTCTCTCACTAACATGGTCAGTTTTGCCAGAACAGAGACCTGTTCACCTGTCTTGTTGACCATTATCTCATCAGTTCTTGGGACAGGACTGATACAGAGAAAGTACTCAATAAGAATCAGCTACATGCTGCACAGATGTTAGCTAGCATAGTGCCTTGCAAGTTAAGTATCCAACAGCTATTTTGTTGAGCAAATCAATAAAATAAATATATGGATATACAGTGTTGTTACAAACACCATTAAACTGTAAAAAGTGTGGGAGTCTTATATATTGATGTGATGGAAAGTAATTGAGAGGATCCTTTAGATTGAGAATGTAGAGAAGACTCTCTAAGGAGGTGACTTTGTGTGTGTGTGTGTGTGTGGTGTGTGTGTGTGTGTGTACGCATGCCCCCATGCATAGACACACACATACACACATACCTGTTAGGCAAGCCCTCTACCACTGATCTACACTCCCATCCCCAGGAGATGACGTTTCAGTGCTAAGAAGGAGCTAGCTATGCTAGCCAACACCCTGTAACGTACTAGGTAATTACTACTCAAAGAGCTTTAAGGTAGAGGAACAGGGAAAAAAATATTTCTTGTTTTAATCAGTAGGGAATGAGGTTACAGAGATGAAGGTAGGATACTGCAGGGCCTTGTAGACTATGGTGGGGGATTTGGGGAGAGAAACAAGATTCGACTTACTTTTCTGTAGGCTACTACACCTGAACTTGCCCTTTCTACTTTGACTGCATGTCACACCATCTCCCTTCTGTCACTCCAGCCAGCCTGGCTGAGTGCAGTTCCTTTCACTTCTCAAACACATTCTTTCCTCAGGGTTTTTGATTTTTCATCTAATCCTGTTTTTAAAAATCTATTCATTCATTGATGCTGCTTTTACTACTTCCCATACTGATCTTACCATATCATACAGTTATCTGTTTGCCCCACCAGAATATACAAGACCAAGGTTTTTGTTGAATTTCATGTTGTATCCTCAGCTTCCCCAAACTGCCTGACAGATAGTAGACACTCAATAAATAGTTAAATAAGTAAAAAGTTGACTAATGCTGTTTCAGGGCTGGGTGAGAGAGGAAACAAGGCAATAGAATGTCAGAGGTGGGCATGTTTCAGAGCATACAAGGCTTTACAGTGGGGTTATCTAGGAACTGAGGTTTTGTTAAAATTGGGATGAAAACCCATGGAGGGGATGGGAAGGATTAAACAGGGAAGGACATAATCTGATTCACATTGGTCAGTATTTGGGGATAAATTGTAGTGAAGATATAAGATTTAATTCTATTTTTCTATGCCACTTGGAATAGGCAGGTTTACCATATTCTTGCTTTTGTATCTGCAGGACAGCTGAGGGTGACTGGTCTAGACTTGGTTCACTTGGGTGTTTTTGATTCACGCTGTAACCAGCTGGGGTTGGATTTTTCCTGTGGGATGAGCAGGTCTTCTCCACATCTTTTTTTTTTTTGTCTGTTTTTTTCTGGGTGGGATTCAGGCTGAAGGAACAGCAGGTGCTCAGGGAATTACAGAGTTACAAGAGAGTAAATCTAACCAAACATCACCTCTGCTGTCTTCTTAGTGGCCACAAAGTCACTTCCAACTTGATGTCAAGAGATGCAAACAATCACCCGAGATTATGGACTTCCTTTTATGGCTTATTTCATCTTGCAGTTTTGGAGGTTACAGTCTATGATCAATGGATCACATTGCTTTGGGCCTGTGGTGAAGCAGCATATCATAGCAGGAGCATGGGGTGGAGCAGAACTGCTCACCTAATCATAAGAAAGGGAAGGGGGGTGGAGGAGGGTAATAAGGAGAAGTAGTCTGAGG